CCCCAAAACCCCAAAACCCCAAAACCCCAAAACCCCATATAAGAGAATAAGATTTTGTAAGAGTAATTAATATATTAAGATGATTTCTGGAACTGATAGAGAGTTGAGACTCAAATATTACGCTAAAGCTGTCATGATGGTCGAACCAACCAACTTCTTCTTCAACCAAGAGACTGCCTGCGATAATGAATTTATGAATGACATTGAGGATGATAATGCCACTATGGAATGCACACCTTCTGGAAGAGAACTCAATACTGGCATTAACCAAGTTGCCATCAAAGAACACCAAGGATTGAACCAGAAAATTCAGGATAATGGTGTCTCTGTGCTATGCTACAAACAGCAAGCTGATGATCTCCCTGACTCAGTTTTCCCAAATAACTGGGTCTCTGTGCATGATTATCCAGAACTTAGTAAAGAAAGAGTTGTTGCAGTTTATCCGATGAAAGTAAAGAGTAGACAAAGAGAAGTAAATCCTGACATCATCAGCGACCTGACCGGACCTGAAGGACACTGCATTGATTTCACTGGCTACACTCAATTGGACAAGGCTTTGGAAGGGACTGGTGTCCTTATCTTCGATCCTCTTAACCAGAAAATTTATGCTGGAATCTCTCAAAGGTGTGAGAAAGATGTTCTCGAACATTTTTGTGAGAATCTCAATGAGAAATGCGTCAGGCCTTGGAAGCTTGTAACTTTCAACGCAACAACCCCCACAGGGACTCCAATCTATCACACCAACGTGATGATGGCAATCCTCTCTGACCATGCAGTCATCTGACTCGAATCAATTTGTGATCCTGAGGAGAGACAAAGAGTTGTTGATGAGCTTTCCAGTCCTGAACTCAATTCGTTCCCCCGTACTGTTATTGATATTAGTATGAAGGAAGTATATGAGATGTGCGGAAACATTCTATGAGTGGTCAACCATAACAACGACCCATGAGTGATCATGTCAAGCACTGCTTACAATGGCTTCTCAGACGCTAACAAGAAGGAGCTAGAGTCCAACTACACGATCATCCATTCTGATGTGAGCACCATTGAGAAAATAGGTGGGGGATCTGCTAGATGTATGGTCGCAGAAGTCTTCTAATTTCAGGAATAAGATTTTTGAAGAAAAATATTATTAAGTGATAACACTTATCTAATTCCTTTCTAATAATCATATCAAAAATCCTATCTTTTTAGCTGGCTTTCTGGGTGAAGTAATTATTAAGATGTTAGAGTGAATTCTAAGGCTTGGAGATTAGTGGTAGGAATTATATTTTTGAATTCATATCGTGGCCCAAATTCTATACCATTCTGATGATCTTCTAATTTTTATTTCAAAAATTTTATGAGAAGAGAATCTAAAAGCTAGCTAGCCTATATTGTTTAGCTTGCTTTAAAGTAAATAAGGAAGGTATATAGCCATTTCAGCATTCAAAAGTATTAATTACGTAATCCGTCCATCTTTGTGTTTTAGTGATTTCCATGGGCCTGACAATTATGGGGTTTTGGGGTTTTGGGGTTTTGGGGTTTTGGGGTTTTGGGG